TACACACACAAAAACATAATAAAATAAAAATAAAAAAATTAAGGATATTTAAAAATATTTTTCTACTCTCTATTAGTTTTCAAGTGTCAGGTTGAAATGACTCTTGGTGTCATTTTATAGGATTTAAGAAAAATCAGAGATCATCTAAGGATCAAATTCCTATGCACGTCCAAAAACTTATCCAACATGGGAAGAAGGAAAGCCACAGACTGGGAAAAAAATATTTGGTAATAACATGTCTGATAAGGGACATTCACCTCAAATGTATAGAATACTCGAGTATCACGACAAGCTAAAGGCAAACAACCCATTTGCAAAATGGGCACCGAATACGAACAGACACTTCATAGGGTTGCTATGAGTCTCCTGCGACTCGACGACACTTAACAACAACAACAACAAATGAAACACAGATAGACATGTTATCTAACAGGTTATTAGGAATTTCAAAATTTACTTCCTAGGTGGTTCCCCCGCCATTTGTATGGATAAGCACTGGTGCATTTAATGGTGACCTGAAAGTTGATCTGTAATATTCTTTTTCCTTCTGAAGTAAATCTAAAGTGCCATCCTGGTTTTAGATACAGCCTGATGTAGTACTTAGAAGATGGAGCCTTTGTTTTTCAATGCTGCATAGTATTCCAATGTGTGAATATACCAGAGCTTCTCTATCCTTTCATTTGTTGTTGGGCACTTGGGGTGTGAACAAAGCAGCAACAAATATGGGTCTGCTTATTATCTGCTTGGTGGCAGTTCTGATTTCTTTACGGTACATGAGATATACGGAATGTTTGACCTTGGAGGACATTATGCTGAGTGAAATATCTCAGTCACAAAAGGACAAATACTGCATAGAGCCATTGTGGTAAAACGGGACTGACATCGGGGTTTAAGGGAACCTAAGAAAAGAGAGGATAAATAATGTATACTTCATTGAAACAGATGAGGGAGAGAACTGTTTTAAAGGAATATAGGGTTAGGTAATATTTTCTGACAAGATTGCAGAAAAAGTAATGCATATTAAAGTGGACTGTGGACTGGGGGGGGTTGTATAACAATAAAAAAAATTTTTTTTTCTTCAAAGAGGAAAACGAACTGGAGGGGGAGGAGTGGGTAGGGAAAAAATGTGCAACAATTAATGAATGGGGAAAAATTAAATGGAAAGAATATGCTGTAAAAATATACATATTGCATTAAAAAATAATTTTTTTTAAAAAAAGGTGGAGCCTGAGGTCAAATGGCCTCAATTCACATCCCAGCTCCTTCCCTGACTGGGGTGTAACCTAGAAGAGTTAGCTGCGTGATGAAGATGAGAAACACTGCCTCATGGAGTTATGCTGAGGATGGAGTGAATCAATAGAGCTCTTGGGAAAGTGATTAGCACACAGGACAATATACAAAGGCCCAGCAGTCTACCTCCAAGAGAGAGCCAGTGGACACCTTACGGATCACAACCAAACCTTGCTCGACCTGCATGCTCTGGATCTTGCTTCAGCAGAGTTCAGTCGCTGGAGGACAGCATCATGCTTGATGATGCAGAGGGCCAGCTAAGGTGTGGGAGCTGCTCTCGACATGGACTAACTACACAGTCACAATGCAGGAGTCTCTAACATGCAGTTGACCATGGGGCTGATGCAGGACCAGACTATGCTGCTTTTCGATGTGTATAAGATCCCTACAAATCTTGTCAACCAGCAATATCTATCTTCTAAAAAAAAGGTTAGTAAAAGATTTTTGTGACAATGAATTATAGTAAGAAATAAAATGAAAGAGTTTCATTTATGTGTGTAAGTTCGAGGCAGAGAGCTCTAAAGACTTAGGAAGGAGTTGTGCTGCCAACCCAAGACACTTGGTTCAAATCCATTAGCTGCTCCAGGGCAGAAAGGTGAGTCAGCCTGTCCCATGTGATTTACAGCCTCTGAAAACCCACCAGAGGGTCAGGATGAGATGGTTCTGACTCGATGACACATAGTCACCACCGCAACAGATTTCATGCACAAACTGAATTTAACGCTTCCGGTGTCCAACCAAGGACAGCACACTTTAAATGTCTGGAAGGAAAGGACATCTTCTAATCTTATGGGAGGAAAAAAAAATGAAAAATTAGACGACTTTCCAGGAGATGGGTTAACACAGTGGCTGCAACATTGGGTATAAGCACAACAGGGGTTGTGGGGATGGTGCAGGACCAGCTAGGTTTCCTTCTGTAAATAGGGTCACTCTGAGTTGAAAGCAATTCAACAGCACTGAACACCAACATTCCTGTGGGACTCCACTCCTAGTCAGATATGTAAAAGCTTCCGAATTCAACAGAATGAGGATAGCATTAAAAACCTTTAAAAATGGTCAGGCTGGGCATATCAACGTTTATTGAAACACTGAAAAAGAAATTCCATTTTGCTGAGAGACTGCTGGCAAGAACTGACGTGACAATATGCATTTCACTGGTACAGGAAGAAAACATCAACAAGTAATCAACTTCACACTCTACCTGTTGCATGGATTCAAATCCAAAGCAGTGGCAGATCTGTAATACAAATATTCAGACAGAGCAGACTGCCTGCTTACAAACATAGACCGACTACAATAAACCAGCTTAAGCCAAACCCCCTTTATATGTTAGTCTGCTTTTACTAATAAAACCTGTAATTGATAAGGTGATTGTTGCCGTAAATGGTTACAATCTGGGTGACAATTAGAGACATTTTTGCTTGCCAACTTTGGAGGTACACAGAGACAATGTGTGACACTCTTGTTTAGCAGCTTCTGGCCTTGCTGTCACCAGCAGTGTGGACGTAACTCTTCCTGTTGGTGTCTTTCTAACTGTTCTTGGTGGTGTCATTTACAAGGTCAACAACATACCAATACTCCACAGTTTTAGGTTTAATATTTAGTGGGGAATACGGTACATTTAATATAAGATGACAGGGATTTAAAAATATCAATGCATATCTACTTTTTTAAGGTTAAAAATCTTCCAGATAATTACCCTCTCCAAATCTCATAATTGGCTCCACTCATTTATACATCCACAGTGGGACCATTGCATGCCCTGTCGGGAGCACTATTCCTCTCCACGTGTTTTCTAGCCAATTTGGTTCTTAAATAGGGAAATCAGTGATGCTGCCATGCTATATAATGCTCTGGATATGACACTGTTATCTGATTGCTTTCCTTGTCATGTGAGCCCGGCTGCTAACACAGGTGATTGAATTGCTGCTTGAGGAACCATCGATGCCCAGCTTAGCTAAAGTGTACCCTTCATGTGGACGAGTATTAGAGGTGATTAATAAAAGTAATAAAATAATACTCTTTGTACACACAAGAAGCAATAACTAATATCTTTGGTATACAACTTACAATGTCTGGAAAAGAAAACCAGGTTAGGCTTCACAATGTTAAATTTACTTGAAAACTGAGAGAAAGCTGTAAGACACATAATTTACAATAGATATTAAATAAAACTACAGTAAGAATGATGATTTACAGACATTTAATCAAGTGAATGATTTTACTTCATTAAGACCCTTCCATGTCCCTGAACTATGTTCCACTAACTTGAAAACATGCTACAGTAAACACATATATTTGGTTTCTTCAGTCTTGGCGATATCTTATACAAAGGTGAAACCAAGGAACAATAAATTAGCATCATTATTGTCTACAGTTGAAACTATGATATACAATATAAATAAACTATTTAAAAGCCAGAAACATTTATTTTTAAAAAAAATTAAGAGACTAGGAGACACCTTCCCCCCACCCCACCATTTTTACAATTTCTCTGATTGTGCCACCATAATCTCAAACCCCCCCAAAAAAACACCACCAAAACAAACCAAATGAGATTCCCACTTTTGATTTTAGTGTCTCACGACATACAATATTTAAGCACTGTTAGAAACAATTATCAATCAGAAAAATAACATTAAGGAAATTACTGCTTTTGCTCTTTTGTGGTATCGCTATTCCCTCCTCCCCTCCCCAGGACCTAAAGAATGTAAACACTATGCTTTCTTTGACGTTAAGAGTATTAATACTTTATTTCAAACAAATATTGATCCACATCTGCACAGCTACCTTTTAGGATTGTGAAATAAGGCAAGACTTTCATACCGGTGGCATTACCCATTAATAATACTGATAGTGTCATTTGGAGAGGTTTGTTTACAATGGTTGTCCTCTAATATTTGTTCTACAGCAGACTTTGGTCTATGACTTAGAGAGGTCAGTATCACTTCTTTTCCCTTTGGGGGAAGATTTGAATTACCATACTATCTTTCTAAGCAACAGGGAAAAGGAAACAAAAAAGAATCATCCTTTCCACTTCATGCTTCAAGGATGTTGAATTGCAATAAGAATGAGCCTTGTCTATCCACCGGTCAGCTCATTCTTTCTTTTCCTCTTGCATAGCTTAGCATGCTTCAATTGTGTTTTGAACTATATAGAACTGTGACTATGTAGCATCCAAGAAACATATGTTTAATGCTTTGAGTCTCCCCACCTCAATGAATGACAGACTTTAAGTGGTTGAAAAACTAACATCCTACCAAGCCTTTTGGCCAGAAATTTTTTTTAAAAACAAATTTTATGGATATCCAGCAATGCCAGTGCCACAGTTCAGCAAAAGAAGCAAACGCAGGTCTAACTCACTTGAGCTATGGAACATTTGTTCTAAAAGTTTATAGTCATCACCCTAAATATGGATGAATGCTTGTATAAGACTGCAAGAGGGATACTGTCTGCTTTCCCGCACCCCTTCAAACATGAGTACAGAGCAAAACAAACTTCTTTAGAAGACATTTAAAATGGCAAGCTAACATGTTCATAGACTGTTCTTAGGTGTTTGTGGGTCTAAGACACAGACATTCATGATTTGGTGGGGTTATGACTGGGTGAGGCTGAGTACAGGTGTTTAGTCCAGAGAGAGTCCATGATCGTGGGGCAGAAGGTGCTAGGTCCTTGAAGGGAAGATGGGAGGTGGCTGATGGGAGGGTCCTGCTGATGCATTCTTGAGAACGGTTTCCAGTTCAGCTCTACAATGGAGGAATTCTGTGAACTCAAATCCCTCGCTGGAGAAGCCTAAATAATAACACAGATCCATTCCTAAATTTCTTCATAGTGGAGATCAGTTTAAATATACAAGCATTAATCTGTCTTTTTTTTTTCCTTTCTTTCCCATTTTGACAAAGTAGTGTCATCCCTCTGTGAGTTCAATTCCTCCGTGACAAGGTCTTATGTATGGAATCCTTTGGGGGTGTGAAGCATCTGATTCACAGTTTGTAATACAAATACCCTGATACGTCATTTATTGGCTATTAAGTATTGGATGATTAAGCCTTTTCAAACCCAATAGCGTTTATCCAAGTTTTTCCATTAGTGTTGCTTGGAGGAGTTCAGAGTATTTTGTGTGTGTGTATGTGTTTTCCCTTTTTCTTGTCTCCATCCCACCCCACCCCTGGCCCATTCCAATCTCTGTTTGTCATCAGGGCTGAGCTTTCTTAGGAGTTTATAACTCTAGGCTCTTTTTGCATGCAACATTTCAATGAGGAGGTTATTGTAGGGCACGTCTCCGTTCAGGTGTTTGTAGTAGAGGTATTCTTCAGCTTGCATGCTGATGGCGCGGATTTCAGGCAGTCGCAGAAGCAGCTGCCCAAATTTCTCTGTTTGTTGTGGGTAGTTGCACATAGTATAGTCCAGAAGGGCCGCGTTGACCTGCTCCTGAACACCTTCAACAAGCTGGAAGTTCTCAAGGTTTTTGACATCTGCATTAACAAAAAAAGAAAAAGGGACAACATTTCAATTGCATTCTAATTCCTGTTTTACTCAAGCTGGGAGTACTCACAATGGTTGCATTTTTCTCCTCACATCAAGCTTACTTTCTATGCTGCCGGATATTCTGTCAGCTGCACTCACCAAGCTCCCCAGCTTGATCACAAGAAAGCTTTAGAGGAATGTCTTATTGAAATTCCGCCTATACTTCAAATCAATTAGACGCCAATGAGTTTTGAGCAAGGTCAACTCTTTTCATATCTTACAAAAGGAAAGGTTTGAGGAGTCCTAAAGTAGTGGGATCATAATATATTGCCAGCAAATGAGTCCCTAGGGAAAGACCTATCTTAACCCAGTATATTACACAATTCATATAATTCTGGATTAATTTTTCTGACCCAAGGTGAAATCTGTGTCCAGGGTATGATGTAGTTAATTCTAATAAAAAGTGACAGGGTTCTTGTTTCTGTTTGACATTTTCTAAATGATTCTGAAAGCCTTTGACTTGTCTAGCCTATGCTAATGAACCATCTGGTTCACTCCAGTGACTGCCAACAGAATATTCGCTACCGGGAACTTGCTAAAATATATATCTTGGTGACTAATGATCTTTATAAAATGAGAGCCTTGTCCTGTAGGCAGAATCTGAGCCAGGATGGTCGGTGCCCTTTAACCTGAATGTGGTTTCTAAATTTGGAGGCTCTGCCTTTGTTTTTTCCTCCTGCTCCCGGGTCATTCAGAGGAGGTGACTCGGGCAATTCATTCTGTCCAACTCATGTGAGCACCTGTGGTTGTTCTAAGCCATCTGCCCAAGGGGTCCCCATAAATACTGAATAAAGGAGAAACACCAAGTCAGACAAGACAGGCTGCCATACACACACACACACACACACACAAACACACACACAGACACACACACACACAGCCCACGGGGAAATGGTATGTTGGAGTTTCTCTTCTGGACGCAATTTATGCTAACTGTACAACTTTTATACAATGTGTATATAGAAGCCCCTCTCAAAAAGACACAGATTTATGTGCATATTTACATACACTCATGCTCAGAAAGTAAACATACTGTCCCTCCCCACCCCATTTTATTTCCTAATTGGACAAAAATAAGAAAGAGCAAAGACTAGCAGAGTCTGGAGGAAGCAAAGTAATACTTTGACTAAAAGGCTAAATGTGCCACTCGGTTAATGATTGTCATACCAATTTGTGTACTCTTAAATATACACTTGGATACATGTATATGCACTGTCTGGTATCTCCATGCCTGGCACTGACGGTAAGCTCGCTTTACACTTGACATTGACATGTGTGCTGCATGATTTCAGTGTTTACGTTTGGGGCCCTAACTCTGCATTAAGACGCTTTTCCCTTCCCATCTCGTAGTCTCTGCCACAAATTAAAAACATGAAGGAATTAGTATGAAAATAAACAGATATAGAGTGTGAGAGTTGGCTGCACCATCTATTTCAAAAAGCGCTGGGAAAACCAGGCATTTTTGATTACTTTCTGAGGAGATGCACACATGCACACACTGTCAGGAGCTCTGGTGTCTTCTGTGGTGTGAGGCTTGACAGCCAAGTCAGTGTCCACTTCACTTCTTCTATATGTGGCACTGACATAGAACAGCTGCATTAGCGAATCATCAGTGCTTTTAAAAAGCTGTTTAAAACTCCAAAGTTAGACTTGTTTCATACTCTCTCACTTCCTGTCATTGCCTTGAGTTGGGTCTGACTGGCAGTGTTTCCATGGAGTTTCCAAGGTTGAAAATTGCACAGGAGAGCATTGTGTATCTTTTCTCCCTTGTGGTTGCTGGTGGATTCAAATGACCAGAGAGACTGAACCTTTGGGTTATCAGCTTAACCCCCTATGGGCTATGCCATCAGAGCTCCCTGGTGGCATAGTCCATAGGGTGATACGATGCTATTTCACAGTGATGCTGCTCTGCTGGTTGGAACCCACTGGTGCCTCTGAGGGGAAAACCATGAGCAATCTCTTCATGTGTGGTCTACATGCTCAGAAATACAGTGGAGGGTCAGCTATGGACCAGTTCTGACTTGGGGACAATGAGTGAGTGACTAATTACTCGTGGATTCTTTATTTGTAAACTCACCTGTTGTTGTTGTTATGTGCCGTCGAGTCGAGTCGTTTGCGACTCATAGTGACCCTATGTACAACAGCCCTACACCCTGCTCTATCCTGTGCCAATCACATTGCCTCCGACACACCCATCCCGATTACCCCAGTGACTGAATCAATCCACCTCATAGAGGGTCTTCCCCTCCTGCGTTGTCCCTCCACCCTCCCAAGCATGACGTCCCTCTCCAAGGACCTGTCTCTCCTTACAACATCAGATCACAAGTTTTAAGATAACTATGTCATTATAAAACGGTCAGACTGCATCATTACATAGCTGCTGAATATTACATAACTATCAAACCAATGAAAATCAAGATCCAGCTGACAGATAACCTCATTACTCTTGCATCTCATTGTTCTTACTGCACAAAATAGTTGTACATTTTCGTTATTGTGGAAGTAGTGGTATTGTTATGTGCCACTGAGTTGAGTACGACTAGTAGTAACTCTGTGAACCTTGTCCTATTCTGTGCTGTCTGTGTCAATACACTTGATCTAATGGCTGCAGTCACTGTCAATCCATCTTTCCCTGACCATCACCTTTCTAAGCACGACGTTGCCCTGCAAGGAATACCTTTTTCTAACAACATGCCCAAAGTATGTGGGACAAAGTTCCCCTCTATCCCATCCACAGGAAGCATTCTGGCAGTACTTTTGAACAATTGTAGTAAATGTGAAATGTTAAATAGTGAGATACTTGATAAGTGAGGGTTACTTGTGGCTGATGTGTGTGTGTGTCCGGGATGGGTTACTACTGATTAATGGGAACTGAGTTTCTGTTTAGGGTGATGAAAAAGTTTTGGAAATAAATAGTGGTGATGGTTGCATAATATTAGAATATAATTAATGCTACACAATTGTATACTTACTGGTTAATATTTTGTTATATCTTGATCCAGCTATCTTATAGCATAAATTGAACAAAAAGACCTAAAAGAAAGTTCATCTGAACTGAAATTAGAAGACAGACATTAGCTTTCATTTATAAATGACTAGAAAGTTGAAAAAGAAACTAAGCAACATCTAGTGTTTTATGATTTAAAAACATTTTTGAAAAAATTTCAGTTTTATTTTCACAAACAAGAGTTGACAATAGTCATTGAGATTAATAGGGAGGATATAAGAATTTGCACAGTATAAATGAATAATAAGTCTTTTCAGAAAATGGTTTTTGAAACTTTCCTCTTTGTTGACAAATGCGGTTTTTTTTGAGAGCAGGGTTTAACCTTCTATAATAAATTATACCATTCTGTTAATAATAAAAAAAAGCCACCCACACAACCAAACTACAAAACTAGCAACTATCAGCAATCATAAAACAAAGGCTAGGTCATAAATTCTGGCTTATTTGTTTACTGATATTGTGGAATGATCACTGAATCTTCAGAGCAGAATTCACTAGATAACTCTGGGGAATACTGGTCCTAGGTGGGACTTTTTTCTCTCAAAGTTTAAAAGTATATAACCTTTTCCTTCTAGAAGGAAAACCATGCAAAGTTTCCTCTAGACCAAATATCATATAATTTTTCTCCAGAGCTCATAAGAATTGAATTTACACAATTGACTTAATTTCCCCATTCAAGCTCTTTTTCTATACCTTAATCATTAAATAGGTATATTTCTTGAACTGCTAAATGCCTCAGATAGATAAAGCTGTCTAATCACATAAAGTTGTATGCTCATTGTCTCAAAAGTACTTACTATGCACTATTATTCAAAATGGGTGACCCTGGAGTACATTATGCTGAGTAAAATATCTCAGTTACAAAAGGACAAATACTGCATGGTGCCATGGTTGTGGAACGAGACTGATATTAGGGTTGGGATGAGACTGAGAAAAATTGGATAAATTATGTATACTGCATTGAAACAGATGAGGGAGAGAACAGTTTAAAAGTAATATATGATTGGGTATTATGGTTATGACGAAAGTCCAGAATGAAGGTTTCATAGTGGAGTTGGGGGAGGGAGGAGGGATTGTGTAACAATGAAGGAACTTTTCTTTTACTTTTCAAGGAGAGTAGCAAACTGGGGTGGGGGGTGGTGGGCAGGGAGGAAAGTGCAACAATGAATGAATGGAAATCCAAAATCCCTGTAAATGTTCATTAACATAAAAAAAATTAAAAAAAGGAAAAAAAAGTACTTGCTATGGAATGTCTGCTTCGTCTCTGTGTCTATACACCCAGATCTACTGTAACTGAGTTGAGTCAGACTCCTAGCAACCTGTCCATTGGGTTTCGGAGACTGATTTTTGTTTGTTTGTTTTGTGGTGGTTTGTTTTTTACAGGCAACTATTTCTTTTCTTGACTTTTTTTCTTATACGGTTTATTTACAATGTTCAAATACATTGTTTTTCACACCTGATCTTTCCAATTTCTTTCACTCCTCCAACCCCTCATATCAAATTGTACAACCCTATGAGTTTTATGAAATGAGACAGTCTTTTTTTCTTCCATGCAGCGGCTGGTGGATCCAAACCACTGCTCTTTCAGTTCCCAGTGTTGTTGTTATTATTGTGTATCGTCCAGTTGGAACTGACCCATAGCTGACTCTCTGGCAGGTTTTCAAAGGCAGTTAATCGCATGGGAGAAGATTGTTCATCCTTCTCACATGGAGCAGCTGGTAGATTAGAATTGCTAAAAGTGCAACATGTAATTTGGTGTCCATGACTCTGATACTTAGATAATGAGTTGTATTTTTATTTTTTTCAAATTTTACTACTTTTTTTGTGTGTACCATCAAATCGTATCTGACTGGTACAGGAGGAGACTGACCTTCCTGCTCCATCAGAGCACCTGGTGAATTTGAACTGTGCACCTCTGGGATTGCAGTGCAGCTTCTTGCC